GACAGACCACCTAGGACTAAAGGAGGACATGGACATTCCCAGGATAGAACTGCATCTATTATTCAAGGAACTACTGGACATGCACATGTCTCTAGTGTGATAGTAACAACGTTTTCTCCAACAGAAACGTTTAAATACAAATGCCCGAAAAGCTGTGTGTATTGTGGGGTTGCTAAAAAGAAATGTATGGCTTTAGATGAATATGGAGACATTTTATCTACGTTTACTGCAGAACAAGTGTGGTTAACTGCCTTTCAACAGTTCAAAGAGATGGGTAGTAAGTATAAATTAACACAATGCATTATGAAATATCAAGAACTTAAATTTGGCAAGTTCGACATCTATGCCATAGCTGTTTAATGTAGCATATTGTATGATAAAAAAGAAATTTTACTTTTATGGGCCTTTTGGATGGTGAAAATGATGTGATATGAAACTAATTGCAAAGACCGGTCAATATAACTGTTTAAGGTTGATATCACCACATATTTACGACAGCCAAAAGCCATAACAGTATTATCTCATACATCGTTAATACAGAGAAGAACAAAATTACTTTCAATTGAATTGTTTAAATGATAGATTGCCATATTATATTTAATGCAGGTTCTAAGTCGTACCGCTCGGCTAGGTGAAACAGTAATGTTTATCAATACTGTATTTTTTTATGTCAAAAGATAACCAAAATAAAACTATGAACTTTTGCAAATGTGTATAATCATATAAACTGTTTGTTAGGCAAGTATAGGCCAGTTTTATTGTAGATATCATGATCCTATTGAGAACTATTCTATTCTACCCCTATATTGTTAATGTACTTTGTTGGTTTCGTTGTCACCTTCTCGGCTCTTAGTTTGAGAAGTTGGCATTCCTAAGACTTGATCTAGAGTCATCGATGTAGCAAAAATCACTTACCTTTGGGAACACCTGGTCTTATTATTCTTTAACTATTCAAAGGGTCACCGTGATCATAATTTGTCGCAGGTTTATCAATGGAGGTCGTATTACTGTTTTGTTTACAATATCCAGTTTTGGTAAAGGGAAGTAACGTCTCTATGGCAAGCCATACTTCCCAATTTAAGAGTCGAGTAAAGTAGAAATGTTAAGTTGAGTTTATGACGCCCTTGACATTACTGCAAACAAGGCACAAACACATATCATTAAATATAATCTGGAAAACAACTGTTTAATCAGGAAATCTTTTAAAGATAGATGACTTTATTGCTTGTTGTCCGCCTCAGGATCATACAAATAACTGTATTCAAGCTTTTGTGTTATCTATTATCCAAAACTCTTATCTTATGAAAACAACAACAAAAATACCATCCAGATATAGACGACATTTATGAATTTCATTAAAATAATATTCCCTGAGCAACAACATTTTTACTTTTTAAAAATTAAAAAATGCTTGCCCAAATCACTTCTTCTGCCCAACTTGGTACGTAACATACAATGGTAAACAATAATCTTTTGAAATGTGTTTCAGCGTTCAAAATTGACATCCAGATAGCTACATGTGATGGATTTAAGTCGTTCTTCGGAGCCTTCGCTGTACTTACCACAGCTGTCAAGACGAATTTGGCAAACTTCCTGGCCGATCCCTCTATCGTTACAGCCGCTCAAATTGAACAGTTTCCAGGTGAAATATTTTCAATGTTAAAGGTTAGTAGTATAATACTTAAGTAATTCTAGTCAAAGATAGAAACACAAAGTTAATTGTATATAAGGTTGGGTTATCACAGGATTATGACAGGGTATATACAATGTTAGTGTCCTTTCTTTTTTTGTGAAATTGGTGTAGTAACAAAAGGGAGAAATTTTGTATTAAGAGAAAAATTATTCTTTTTATAGATATTTTCAATCCTTAGACCGATATCAAAAACTATCAAAATCATATTTTGCGTCATTTTAGTCTGTAAACAGAAACAAACCTTACCTGTGTAGCTAACAACAAAAACTATTAATTATCGTATGAAAAGCATTTTTTTACCACAATATTGACTACTTGGATGTTTTTGCCGATACAGCATTGGTTTTATATAGTCTTGTCCTGTTTCTTCATTCAATACATTTGTAAAATGCATCCTTACTCTATGACCTAACTGTAATCATAGAACTTTTTATGCTTTGCACCTAAGATATATGTATAATACATATGAAAATAAGGCTGACCTCGTTATCGATCCATTACCAGGTAAATCTAGTGACCCCGTTGTAACACCCTCTGTCTTTCTTTCTGTCTGTTCTTTCCTTTTGGTGCTGTCCTCCTGGGCGCAAGTCTAAGCTATTGCGAGGAAGTTAATCCCTTTTAAATACATGTTTATCTTTTCTATAGTGGTCATCATTTTCTGAATGCAACCTCTAGCACGTCGTTGTTTACAAAATATTAAAGATTTGTTCACTCTGTCATATGTTGTTGGTGACTTGTATACTTTCTTGGGTTTTATGGAATATTTCAGGACGGCTACTACATGTTACAGGAAACGCTTACCCTGCTGGAACATTTGGTTTCGCCTTTTGTTTTGGTGACATCTCACTTCAATTGTTATTTCCATGTATCGATTTTAAGTTCAGATTACTTCTTTAGTATAAACGATGTGATACGTTTCTTTGCTTTATATAAATACTTGTGAATGATATTATAGTTAGTAGATATCTCATAAAGCTCAACTCAATTAAAGTACTTTTCTCGTAGGTTTCTGATAGGTACGACATCATGTTAAATCATTGGCTTGGTTTGAAAACCTCATTGTGTTACAGTAATTAGTAATACTCCGTAAGGGATATATGCTTTCAGTTTATAATTCACCAATTCAACAGATAATAGTTAATTCTATCACCAGCATATCACCAAAAGATTAAATGCATCCCGCAATATACTTTCATGTGACCAAGCATTTTTTAGTTTGTTTGTTTGGCGACTGTGGTCATTTAGGGCCATGGTGATTTATCTATTTATCTTATCATGAATGTGTTCAAAACCGGAACATTCGATTAAAAAATGTTAGACTGTAAATGAAGTGTCACATGCGTGGCATGAAGGTGGATTTTCCCGTTTTAAAAGGTACGAATTTAGGTAATTTTATGAACTTAAAGCCTTCATAGCAGGTTTTTTTTTTTTTAAATCAATATCTTTAATTTGTTTGTTACACGAACTAGTATTAATTATTTTATTGAAGAAACATATAACATTTTCAATAATAGTGTTTTATGCTTTATTGATAACTGAGCATTCTGCTCTTATGTCATTAACATATTTTCTATACAAAAAGCACAAGAAAAGAAGCATCCAATTTTTACTATTATTTTGGACAGTCTGAAGTTCAAACACGCGTGTTCAGCGGTATGACATTAGCACAGAAGGGGGTTGTTTGTAACGGATGGAAATCTAAGGATTGCTTGACCAAAATCGTCATCAAAGACTTATTGAGTTGCGTGAATATTCTTGAGGTAAGTACTTGTAAGTATTCGTTAGAAATATATAGAGTGTTGATAACATACTGCCACTTTCTTGTGTATTAAATGAATTTAAAACTTTTCCTCCGGTCAATATGTTGTGTTGATACGGCAACTTTATATCCGTGAGACCCAGAAGAATTATTTTCATGATTTGTATAAACAAAGTGTTGCATTGACAGAGTAACGGAGTGACTTTGACAACTGACGAGAAGAAAAAAATTGTCGATACGGATTCGTACGATACCTGGTCCGAAGATGAGTGGATTACGGCAGCACAACAGTTCCCAGAGGTGTTAAATAAGGCGCAATACATGAGTATGCCTATTACTGTGATGGTAGAAACGTAAGTTTGAACTGAATTAAAAAAAAGCATGATTTAATGTCATTTTAATAATTAAACAGGCATTTATCTTTTATTTTGGAAGCTTGTATTTAGAAACACTCTGACTTTTTATTCTACACATGCTGACGCTTGTTATTTTGTGCTATTTACTCTGTAATGTAAAAACGTGAATTCAGAGCAACAAGGACCTTTGCAAATGAACAACAGGTAACTTTAACAAAACTATACAGTATCACTTACCGTGTATACAGTATAAACCTGGGATAACCTTGTTTTTGATGTCTTATGACATTAGGGCTACGGTAACTTTGAGAACAAATACAATAAGGTATGAACGATTATTAATAGTTTAGACAATAAGCAGTGGTTTCCAAAGCTAAAAGTATTAATTTTAAAATAATTCTTGTAATACCTATGGCGAATACACATGCATACTGATGAGTTCTTTCTTTCTCTTAATCAGGTAATCTATCAATAATCACAACTTTTGTGATATTATTAGTTCAGCCTCTTTTTGCAGTTTTCATATATGTTGAGGTTAAGCTAAATAGTCTTGTTCTATGCCACTATCAGCTTTGCCGTTTTGTTTCTAGCATGGTAAATATCAAAGCAATCGCCAAAGAACTTCAGAAAGGTGCAATTTTTGCCATCAAGAAACGTTTAAAGGAGTATATGTTGGGTCAAATGCTGAATGTAACGTCGGCCACACAGAGAGACTGGGTGGATCTGATGAAAGAATTCGGTGCTGAACCAAAGCTATTCAGTGACGTCCTAGGAGTAGCGGCAGTATGTATGATCGACAGACTTACTTATTTCGCTTAAAGTCGATTTGTGAGATTGTAAACAAAATTTAACCAACTTTAACAATTTTAATATGAAATTACTATTGACATTAATGTCAACGGTAATGAAGAAATGGGGTGTTTGGACCAGTTTTGTGTTAACAGTCGTAATTGAGGAAATATTGACTTGACATATCAAAACTCAATATTATTATCAATAATTTGATTTAATAAACTTGTCGATTGAAACGAAATGATATTAAAAAATTGACAATCATTTGGATGTCGTTCACAATCTCAGCATTTAAGAGACAATTTTTATTTATTCACTTATTTACTTGTCAATGGGCTTCAATGTCTCGATGTTACAATAATATTCATGATTTGTTTGTGATACATAGAGTTTCACCAAGGAGTGATGGTTGGTTTTCATGATAACTCTCGTTATTTAATTCTTAAATTGTATAAAGGCACCAGGTTTACCGAGTGACTTTTACATTTTGAAAATGAACATCGAGAGTTAGATAAACATGATAATCAATCATCTCGAGTTAGGGAACTCTTTTTCTTTTACAACGTTTAGAAATGATATATAGAAAACAAAAACCATAA